ACCCCCCCGCTGTCATTTTACAAAGCACATTCACGCGAGCATGTGTCATCATGTTCCACTTTTCAACATGACTTTTCATCAGTTTCCTCTTTATCTATTCGTTATTCTCATTATTTCCATATTTCTTGCAATTCTCATCTTTTCGCACATTTTTTCCGTTATTCTTCATTGTTTTCATGACGTTCATGGTTTTCACATGATGTTCCCTGATGTTTCATTATGTGTTACCATTTATCATCTTTCATCATTATTCCCATGATTTTCTCATCACTTCAACATGTCTCTTCATTCATCATCTTCCATCATTTCTCATTGTTTTTCATTTTCATACTTGCCATATTTCTTTGTTGTCATGATTTTCATCATTTTTCATTATCTACATCATTTTTCATTATTTGCACGGTTTTTCATGATTTTTCATTTTCATCATGTTTCACCACTTTTCAATATTTATCATTATTTCCATGCTTTCTCGTCATTTCTACAAAAGTTTTTTTGATGCTTATAAAGTTTGTTTTTGATGCGCTGGGCATATGTTTTGTGATGCTTATAAAGGTTTTTTGATCCCTCACCCAGCTTTTTGCTATTGAGCCGCGCTGCAAAATCAAACTTCTTCACAGTTCCCTGTGGGTGCAGATTGGCAGCAGGGCTTGAGAACTGTTTTGCCAGGCTTTAGATTCTGTGTTTGAAACGACGTCGCTGCTGCCAGATGCTGCCCAGATCCAAGTGGATCTGTCACCGTCATAGCTCAGGATGCCACCATATGCCACATCATGCATCAGCTCTCATTACTTGCTTCCATTTGCTTCCAAGGCTTTGGCGGATGTTGTGGGCGCTCTCGGGCACAACTTGAGGCCATGTTTGGCTGCCTTGGCTTTCTACGCTTGACTTGTCCTCACAAATCATATTGCTACAGTAGATTTGCCTGAAGGAGGCTGGGGGCGGACCTGTTTTGTGTGTCACCATGGTATAACAGGACTGCAGACACGGAGGAGGGCATCTTGATACTGCACCGCATGGCCCCATTCCAAGCATGATGACCTTGCGAGTGGAGGCTGCAAGAGCTACTATCATTTGTCAAGCTTTAGCAAGCAGGTTGACTTGTGCAACTTCAACTTGGCACGGCTCTTCCTGGCCCGCAAACTGCGCAGTCATGATTTATCAAGGGTCAAGGGGAGCTATTCGCTGTGCAGGTTTGGGATTGCATTCTCAGCACAATCACGAAGGCCTGCTCCGTTTTATCGTGCTTTTTGCAGCTGCGACGTTCGGTGGAGATGTCTTGGACTTCAGTTTTTCTCTCGAGCTAACGAATAGATTAGTTATTTGCCCAGAGCAAAAATAGGGGAGCGTAGGGAAAATGGGCCGCGCCCATGGTGCCCACACCGAGGGTGTGGGAAGGCAACTGCGCACGCATTTTCTGTTTACGCTTATGGCCTTGGTTTGCACTACATTCCTCTCGACACAGTGTGCCGTGCCGCCCACGAATCGAATCATGTTGGTCACTGGGGCCAGCAAAGGTTTGGGTGCCGAAGTGTCAAAGCACTTTGCGCAGTCTGGTTGGAGAGTTGCAGCTTTGGCCAGAGATCGAAAGGCACTCGACAGAGTGGTATCCGATGTTGCTGCTCCTGACCGGCTCTTGCCCGTAAAGTGCGACATTAGCGATTCAGTTTCTGTGGGTCTTGCCATTGCCTCAGCTTGCGAGCACTTCGGCGGAGCGCCCACTGCCTTGATCAACAATGCAGCGGTCTATGCCAAGAAGCCGTTCCATGAGATGGATCTTGATACCATCAACTCTTTGGTTGACACCAATCTCAAAGGAGCAATGTATGTGACACGATCCGTGCTGCCCGGAATGCTTGAAGTTGGCCGCGGGCGGATTATTTTTGTCAACTCGGTGGCTGGGCTGCCAACCTGGACCATCCCAGGCGAGTCTCTTTATTCTGCCACAAAGCATGGCCTAAGCGGCTTTGCGGATTCTTTGGCACATGAGCTGAAGGGCTCAGGCGTGCAAGTGACAAGCATTCATCCTGGTGGGATTGACACGCCACTTCAAGTCGCAGCTGGCACGCCTGAGGACGTGCGTCTAAAGTTTCTCAAGTCTGCAGACGTGGTCTCATGCATACAGCATGTGCTGGAATCTGACCCCCACGTGCTGTACAAAAGGATCGAAGTGTTTGGCAGCTCGTTTTGGCACTGATCAGCTTTTGGACGGCTCGTCATTGCCAAAGCCTGCAATGCCTGTGCCGTCTTGTACATTCTGAACCGCTGTTTGCACACAGCACCGAACAAATTGTACTCATGTTTGTTTGATTGCTTGACCTTATTCTAAGATATGATTAGTGATTGATGTTAACCTCGCAATGAACCCCTCCAAAATTGTTGTCTGTTAATCGTTAATGGCTTACGGAGGGGGGGGGTCGCAAGAATGCACCAAATGGGTAGTTATGGTACCAAGTGGTGCTAGTAGCACAGGTAGTACAGCCAGTAAAAGTCGATTTAGCTCCGGACATTTTTGGACGTGGAGCTTTATCATTGCCACCCCGCTATCATTCCTCACGGGAGTTTTTGGTAGGTTTTGGGGTTCCGGAACTTGATAGAATGGAAGTCAAATGTAGTTTTTCCGTTTTTTTTTTTTTTT